GTCGCTATCGCGTCCGTATTGAAGCCATTTTATTGTTGCTTCTTAAAAGACAGAAAATATTGATTTTTCACGTTGAGAACTCCTATGAATACCTGTTCTGATGAGACCTATTAGGTCGAAATATGTATCAACAGATACATAGGGATTGTTTGCGTGAAATCAAATATTTGCTGTCTTTTTCATTTCATTTCATTCGATTTTTTTTTCTTTTTGGATGCACCAAAGGGGTCCATCTTTAGGACACTGGAGAATCACCTTTACTTATCCCATCACTGTTAAGTCATCGAGGCGTCTGGAGTAGAGCGTTGCTTGTCACTTTATATATTTTCCTCTTTCATAATATCTACCAACAGCTGATAGACCTCATATTTGACTCTGTTATACACAGCGCTCTTGTATTAATGCAAAATCGAGTTATAACAATTCTAAGATCTACCAACGCTCATAATCTATAAGTCCACTAATTGTGCTCTGTGGATTGTGGATCATACCTTAGGTAACACTTTTTCCCTCTCCCCTGCCACTCATGGGCATTATGACGTTACACCTCGATAATAGGTACAGCAATGATCGCAGCTTAAATCTCGCCATATGATACGACAGTGTTGATTATGGTGTGGTGTGTGTGTATGTGTGTGTGTGTGTGTGTGTGTGTGTGTGTGTGTGTGTGTGTGTGTATGCGCGTGTATGTATGTGTAGGTATCTATGCACTGTTTCACTGATTGGTAGGCAACTAGTTCTACATGAAGAGGTAGATTTTTTGATAAATATTCACTTCTTTTGTACGTATTCTAGCATTTTCACATCAAATTTATCAGTCCCTTATATACTCCATCTGGATGATTGTTCATTCTGACATTTGCTCCAGGTGATTTTGTTAAATAGCCAAACTTATTTCGTTTAGCCAGAGTAACGTAATCAAACTGTTAATTAATTTTATTATTGTCTTATTTTATAATTTATAGATTTTAATTTTATAATTTTTTATGCATTGTATCACCATTAGTATTGTTCACTTCTAAACACAGAATATTCTAATAAGGAATAAATCTTAAAGCCACTTTACGCTGCTGTAATCCATTGCAATTATTGTTCTTCAGCAAAACTATTTGCTGTCTTGCCAGCCGCTTAACCCTCTCACGCATTGAGTCCACTGCAGTGGACAGATTCTTTTAACTCCAAAAAATATATTTTAATTCTCTGAAACTTATGCAAAATGTATGAAATCCCTTTCAGTGGACTCTAATCAAGTAACTACTGCCGCCATCTACAATATTTATTTTGAAATTCAAAGTTTGTTTATGTTAGTATCTATGAATAACCTGACTGCGATGACCACCTGTGAATTGCCTGAAATAAGTGCCCGTAGTTTTTATGGAAAAGCAAACAAAAAGGTAAGAAAATATTTTTCTTATAGAATTATGTATTTTACACAATTTGCCCTTGTTATAATTTCAAAATAATTGAAAACTCACCGAAAATATCGCCTTGAAGTCATGTCCACTAGACTGGACGTCATGCAATATGTAACTTAGAATTTCACTCTTGTGGTATGTTTTATGAGTATAACTTTTAGAGGGGTAGTAGCTTTCTTGTTCACATATTTTTTGCTTTTCTTGTCAAAGATTTATTATTGATTTAGGGATTTTCGAGGGCATTTTTTTATGTACTTACCTATATTATTTTGGTACAAATAAATAAATTTTATTTATTGACATAATATTACTTCTTCAATGGGAAATTTTATTCTATTTCAGAAAGTACTTTTTGCCGATGAAGACGACATTAGGGACGAAATACCTTTATGTTTACCAGAAAATGAAGAATTTATAGGTATTGATAATGATGACATTATTTATGATTTACCAGAAGGTTCAGATTTGGAATCTGATTACAATGACGAAGTGACGTATTTGCTCGAACATGTAACGGCTGAAGACCAAATTGATGAAAGTGACTTAGAAGAAATACAGCCAGAAAACAGTGACGATGATATGAGTGAAGATGATATTCCATTAGCTCAGCGTATTTTGGCATTTTCATCAAAACATAAAAGTCAAGAGAAAAAATCAAAAAAGGCTGAGAAAAAAGACTGGAAATGGTGCAATAATGACAGCATGTATGGGCCAGCAACTTTGCCACAGTTTAGAGGAACAGAAAATATTCATGTTCAAGGAAACAATCCAATTGATTATTTTTTATCACTGTTCACCGCAGACATAATGGATGATATCGTCTTTCAGACCAATTTATATGCTGGCCAAAACAATAAATTAAATTTTGGTTTTACAAAATATGAGTTATATGCTTTCTTGGGCATAAATTTAGTGATGGCGTACATCAGGTATCTTAGAATACGGCTTTACTGGTCAAGTGATAATGGCCTGAGAATGGACCTAAATAATGATAATGTAAATCAAAATAACACGGACAAATTGCGAAAAATCAGACCATTTTTGGATAAAATTCAGAAAAACTTCTTAGGTGCCACAGATCCAGAGGAATACCAATCAGTTGATGAGCAAATTATTCCACTAAAAGGAAAATTAGGTATAAAGCAATACTTACCAAAAAAACCTAAAAAGTGGGGAGTCAAAGTTTGGGTAAGAGCTGGAATTAGTGGATATATGTATCGTTTTGAGGTTTACCAAGGAGCCTCAGGAGACAGAAGTCAAATTAGTAAACTTGGAGCGTGCGCTGATGTAGTTTTGCGTCTAACTGACGACTTGAAGAGAATAAATCATAAAGTATTTTTTGATAATTTATTTTGCTCACTTCCCCTTATCGAAGAACTGCATAAAAGAGGTATATGGGCGACAGGAACTCTCCGATTGAATCGACTACAAAATTGTAATTCTGTTATGAAAACAGATAAACAAATGAACCAAGAGGGTAGGGGAACTTCATCTGTTGCAAGTACTGAAGGTGGCAATATAATTGTATCTAAATGGCTAGACAACAAGACTATTTACATTGTTTCCAATTGTGCTGGAATAGAACCTAAGAATAAAACAAAACGCTGGTGTAAATCTACTAAGACTACTATAGAAGTGAACAGACCATTTTCTGTTCAGTTTTATAACAAAAATATGGGAGGAGTAGACCTGATGGACCAGTTGTTGGCCCTGTATCCTCTAAGGAGAAGAAACAAACGCTGGTACATAAGAGTTTTTATGCATTTTGTGGATGTTCTTGTTGTAAATGCATGGATTTTGTACAAGAAAAACGGAAATCCAAAAAAAGATCTGCTTGAATTTAAAGCAAGTATTGCCAGAGCATTAATAAATTTGGGAACACAGAAAGAAAATAAACGAGGTAGATCTTCGTCTGGTACACCACCTCTCATTTTGAAGAAAAAGAAATCATGCACCCCCTGAAATTAGACAAAGTAATTGGGGGCACTGGCCACAACTAATTGATATACCAAATGCTCGAAGATGTCACTCTAAAGCTTGGAAAAGAAAAACAAAATACATCTGCAAAAGGTGCAATGAGCCGCTGTGTCCATCGTGTTTTGAATATTTTCATACCAGTAACTGAGGCTTCCGCGATTCTGCAAGTGCATAGTGGCCACTAGAGTGGACGGACTATTTTTTAGGGTTTAAGAAAAAAATTTTATGTTTTTTCACTTAATATACTATTTTCTAATGTTAATTTTCAATATTTTGCAATAAAATAATTTTTCTAAGAAAAAAAAAATTTTTCCCTAAAATTATGCATGAGAGGGTTAACTAATGCAAGTAAATACGACTTACTTCTCTTTTTGAAACATGTATTATAATAAAAGCGATAAACTTTTATATAAAAGGTCAAGACAGACGAAAAGCGAACACCAGGCATCTAAACAAATTAATATCATGTTAAATGTCAAAATAATCATATACTTAATATATAAACACATACCACCCACCTTCAAATTTAATAAGATAATGTAATGATGTTAGAACATGTTCTAATACCCGCAATTCTTAAAAGAGTTGCGTCTTGCACTGCATTTCAATGTCGCAGTGTTGTCGTTTTTATGTGAAATGGCGGAATTTACTTAAGCTACAATAATGGTGAAACCGTTCAATCCTTGTATTTTACTATCTTGTTATTACTTATTTTTGCAATAATTCTCACTTATTATATAGGCGCCCTATAATTGTATTTGTAAACAGTTGGTGTTAAAATAATGTCATTAACTTATTTTATTTGATAGTTATCTTTAATAAACCATTATGGATATATATTTACTGCGAAGTAATTACAAACTATTTTATTTCGTAATTGCTACTCTTACTTTTTTACTCGTTGTTTTTTTAACTTTTACTTTACGGTTGCAAAGATATCATGATTTTTAGTGAAAGTCTACTACGCTGACAATAAAAGCAAGTTTAAAAGGTATTATTCGGTAATACTGATTTTTTAAATTTGACTTGATATACTTTGTATTTACAACCAAGCATAACAGCTATCTTGTTTGGCAGGGTTGAGGTATAAAGCCACTTTCTCGTAATTAAGTTACCCTATCAATCTGCTAACAAAGTCCACAATTATAGCTAAAACAAAATGATTTCTACAGAAGATAGAAAATAATTTAAATAAGAGATAAAGGGAATTTCTTATTATAAAATAAAAATTATTATTTGTTCGAAATATGGTTGATTAGATAGTTCCTTTAGCTACCTAAATTACAAAAATACAAATAAGTTGTTTACAAAAATAAATTAAAAATCTGCGATAATATTGTTCTAAACAACCACTGACTGCATAATGTAAAATTATTGGCGAAGGGGCAACGGAGGTTCGTGGAAAGTTGACGATGCCCAGTGTTGTCATTTATAGTGTGTATATCTAATTTAAAACTTAACCTCAGTCCGTGCTATTGCTTGGCTACTTGGTGAATGTGAAGTCAACATTTAGATATTAAGAAAATGATTCTTCCGAATAAATTTTTAACAATTCATTACAGTCCTTGACTTGTTATTACGTGGTTATAATATATATTTTTTTTACAGAACCGAAGGGGTAAAAGGCCATGTGTTAATGAACGGCAGTGATAGAGACCTTAGTCAATTCCGAAAATTATCGGCATATATTATGCAGGATAACCAACTACATGCTAATCTAAGAGTAGATGAAGCTATGGCTGTCGCAGCTGCGCTTAAAATTGGCGCCAAATCTCCAAAGGATCGGGAAGATATCGTAAGTATGGTTACAATAAATTAGATTTACCCTTGAAGTAATATGTGTCTACATCTACATTGATAAGATCTTTCTCCGTCATCCCATTGTGTCAACTGGATATAGTACTTATTGTAGAGTTAATTTGACGTATTGATAAGAACTTTATGTATGTATTTCAAATATAATGCACTAATAATTAATTAATTAATTATTAGTGCGTTATTATTAATTATTAATGCACTTAATATTAATTCTTCTAGTTTATATATGTTTTAAATATCGAAGCAATTTTTGATGAATTTTCAATGAAAATATTCTGTATACAATACAAGCTATTGTCATTATTTTTTAATCTAAACACCTCTTGGTAGTAGGTAGAAGGGTACGCTGACTTTAATTTCACTATCAGTTGAATATAGAGTCTGTCCTCTGAAAGTTGGGAGTCATGTGTCACAATAAAACTCCAACTTTCTTTGGGAGCCAATTATTTTCAGTCCGTCTAGCTCAGTCTCTCAGGTCCTATCTTAAAAGCAAATCTTAAAAATGATTTTGGCTGGGACAAATAAAACAGCATATTAACTATAATAATTATATTTATTGTAGATTAAAAAAATTAAATGAAATTTTAATACCAACAAAGCATTCCTACTAAATTAAATTACTCCCCTAAAAATGTACCTTTCAACGAACGTATAAATCGATTTGAATATGATACAATCAGTTGAGAGCCACTGCTGCAAACAGATGCCAGTCTCCTCCATGGAAAATACAAATACCAAACGTAGATTTTACCTTACTCAGCTATCCCAAGCATTCACACAATCCCTCTAAAATTAAACAACAATTCCACTCTACCATCTCCAAATATTCTGATTTTTAACTATTTTCGAAGACAGTACCTTTGTCACCCGCTTAGCCAATGAGTGTAGTATATTTACTGAAGAACTGCAAGCAATCTGCAACGCACTAAATCTATGTATCAGCAAAGATATAAATTTTCTTATCATATCAGATTCTATGAGTGCCTTAAAGGGTATCAAACAGATGTATCCTACTCATGCCAATTTAGCACAAATAAAAGATATGCTTTACAATGCCCAAACAAGCGGCAAAAACATAAGATTCGATTGGGTGCCATCCCATGTCGGGATAATAGGCAATGAAGCGGCTGATAGAGCAGCAACAGAAACTGCCAATAATATAACAGTTCCTATGATGCAAAACATACCATTTTCAGACCAAAAAACATTAATAAAAACCCAACTTCATAAAACCTGGCAGGAAAAATGGATCCAAACGGAAGCAAAACTAAAATTATCAAACCAGATGTTGTTTCTGCTTCATTACCATTCCCAGCTCAAAGACGTGACCATGTCTATTGCATAAAATAGAATTGCGTAGAAATGAATAAAATCAAAAGAAATTGAAATAAAATATTGAAATATATATTATAAATATTGAAAATATTGAAATGAAATATTTGATCAGATTACTATAGTTGGTTTTCCTAAATGTTGCAGTTAGTACATTGCAGTAATAATTTCCAAGCACTGTACTTTCTGAAGTTTCATTATTATTGTTGTTTGATCAACATTTTTTCATCAGAGTTTACAGGCATATTTGGTTGTGGATTTGAAAAACAAAGGCATCAAGTTTCCTGCATCCAAACTCATCCAGCGCCTCGAGGACATACGATATCACAACCAAATTCATGTAGAACTTTTGGGACAGTCCCACCTATATCAGTTTCACTTTCAATGTTTACCTCAACAACGAGTAGTGTAATAATTCAGTAGCTGTTAGCTGTAAACTATATTTTACTCCACGACTTCAACATTTTATTTTAGCGCTGTCGATCGAGAGGAAGCGAACACGTGGAAGTAATAGAAACAAATTCGAACTTATAAATACATTCGAATTTGTCCAGTAATCAAATCAAGAGATAAATTTGAGCATTTGGATCTTATTTAAACTTTCACGTTTCTCTTTATAGTTTTAACATTTAGTCTTTACAAATCTGTTTAAGACCTATTATTCTTTTATGAACTTATATAAATATTCAAACCTTATAAATATTTAGAGCATATTAAATCGTAAAAATACAGATAGCCTCCAAAAATGCGTACACATATTCAACAAGATAGGAAAAGATTATGACCTCGCTAAAATATGAATTAACTAAATTCTTAATATCCGACAAGATTTCGAGATAGTGTATTTAATAATTTAAAATAATTTTGCCAAGTAAGTGGAAAAATTTAATTATGCAAAATCAAAAATTAAACAATTTCGGATAAGATAAATTCGAGATCAAGCGTTTTGACCGATACAAGGACTAATTTATATATTTAGAGTACATTTTGTGATGTTATACGGCTGCACTATATTTTTTATATATTTTTGATGTATTTATCCGTTTCCCAAATCAATTTCCCAACTATTCCTGTTACTTATAAAGCAAAAAGCTCAATTTTCAGGCGGTAAAAAAAAATAGTTAAAGATCAGTGCCAAAAAATTCAATAAGTAGATATTGTTATAAAAAATATAGAACTACCTTCACCTAAATTTTTATGCAATTTGAGATTGTTATTAAAAAGTACTACCTAGTGGTTTCTCTTTATAACAGTAATTCCCCTATATCGATGAAAATAGTAAATGTGTTATTGTGTTTGATATTGTGCAAGATCATAGTCCAGCGATTGTTTCGTTTCGCACTTCGCACTTAAAGAATACGGCCACCCCTCCTACTCATTGTAATACAAGGGTGGAGTGATACGCTTCTCACTTCCAGTTTCAGTTTTATCTCAGTGTGTGAACAGTCAACATGTTTTCGAAAAAGCGTTAAGTGTTCTTAACAACATGTCAGTTTTTTGTATGTATCAATAAATAATCTTTAATAAATAGTTTGGAGATATCTTTATGTGTACGATTATTGTAATTATTAAACCTCTTAACTTATTTTCGTCTAGTAATTCCATCACAGAATGCATACAAATCCCATTTAACTTTAACAAGAATTTAAATTCTACTCTCCAATGTCGGCATGCGCGAACACGACCTATTTTGTGCTACGGGAAGATCCTATCTTGTTATTATAGTATCATGGTTCCTCGTACGGGGTTGTCTCAGTTAGCTGTGGCTGCGATATGGAAGGACAGAAAAAAGTAGCTTGAAGCGGAAATGGACGGCGGTAGCAGGAAGAAGTTGCGGAAACCTCAGCACGAAGATTTAGATCGCGCTATGCTTCAGTGGTTGCAGCAGCAGCGTATGAACCATATTGCACTTTCTGGACCTGTGGTCAGGACAAGAGCTGAGTTTTTTGCAACTGAGCTTGGAATTGTGAATTTCAAAGCATCTGAGGGTTAGCTGAGCAAGTGGAAGCTGCGGCATAAGATCAACTACAGGCAGATCAGCGGAAATGCTCGCGATGTTAACAAAAACGTAACGGATGATTGGCTAGAAAACGTGTGGCCTGTACTGAATGCATTCCGTCCGACTCGCGGAAATAAGAATAGAGCTGGGGCGATTTTCCCTGTCTTTCGTAAGAGGTGACTATTGGGAAGGAATGAAGAGAAGGAGCCGTCGTTTGAGGTGTCGTGTTTGTAGAAACGCACGCATGGCGCTTCGGCGCTACGTTCACCGGTCTACACTCCTAGTATCCGAGACGAGCCTCTCGTGGGACCACTCTACTCTCATTTTCCACAAGAGCCGGGTGTGGTTGAACGAGCTGCGTCTCTGATACACCCTTTCCCCATTAAGGGCGTGGGGTTTTGGCACGTACCCACCTGGGAGACTTAAGAGTGGTAGAGGAGAGCTCCTCAGCGGCGACCTATCAAACGTGCGAGGTCGAGCCTCGACCTGCGTTCACCTTTCCGCACCGGAGGGGATAACGGGCGGTGTGCGTACCGCAACACAGGTACTAGGGGGAGGGTGGAGTGTTGCTACATGTAACACGCCACCCTCAAATGGTGTCGAACTCGTAGGGGTAGTGGTTAGCTAAAGGTCGTATGCTGAAAGGCCAGGTAGACCAGGGTCCAGTTGATGCTTTATCATCAGAGGGTACACGAATTCGTCCATGAACTAAAGGCACGATATACATCAGATGACATTTTTAAAGCTAATGAGACTGGATTGTTTTTTAAAATGACACAAAACAAAAATTTTAATCGGGAAAGTGTGTTGGTGGAAAGCTCTCTAAGGAACACATTACGGTTTTAGTGGCTGCTAACATGACAGGTTCAATGAAGAGAAAATTGTTACTAATAGGGAAGTCGAAAACCCACGATGCTTGAAAACGTCAAAAATCTACCTGCGCGACCTAGAAAGCAAACAAGAGTTTGTGGATGGCTTCGGAAATTATTGAAGAAGCGACTAGAAAATGGGATGTCGAGCTTAAAGAGAGAAAATTCTTCTGCTTGTAGACAGTTATCCTGCTCATCCTATACTGTGCGACCTTCAAAACATTAAACTTTGTCTCCTGCCAGCAAACACAACGAGTGTCCTTCAGCCCGTGGACCAAAGAGTCATCAAGAGTTTGAAAAACCATTACAGGAAAAGACTTTTAATGGAATTTATTGAAAACAATGGCGATCTCAAGCTAAAAGTTCTTGACGCATGATGGCAAACATTTCTTCAAAACACATGATGGCTGGAAGATCAAGGATACAGTGTTAATTCATTAATACATAATAGTTTTGATCAATTTTTTCAATTATAATATGTTATTTCTACAGTATTATTATTATTACATAAATATTTTTGTCTCTCTCTATGACGATCTCTCCTTATAACGTTGAAAATTCCAGGTCCTTGCATATCGTTATAGACGGAGAGGACTGTATACATACGCCTGGGCAGGTTTTCATCTTTATTTATTTGTTGTGAAAATCTAAACGTCAAATAACAATTATAAATTATCAATTGTGGCTTAATCCCATGTAAACATAATATTTGAAGACCATTTTTACTTAATTTTATCAAAAAAAAAGAATGTTTAAAAATATACACCCACAACAAAA